GGGGGGGGGGAGAGAATGAGTCGGAATAGAAGTACATAAGGAGTATGAGTTTCGTGGATTTCAATAAATCTCATCAGAGACCAAGTTGTCATCAATACGCACTAGGCGATCCTCATCATTAATGGGGGGGGGGGGATCATTTTAAAAAGTCATCTTTCCACTGTCAGAGGAAAATTTGTCATATGAGGGGCAAGAGGAAGCACGTTGTAGCTGGTCTGAATGTTTTCCTGTTAATTTCCCGCTGATTAGTTTCAAGAAGCGTTGTGAAATCCCAGTACAGAAGCACCCACATCGAGCGACGGCTTCAGGTATCGCGACATAGGCGGATGCCTAGAGGGGCATTTTTTCAAGTAGCTTCAAAGTCCAGAAAAAAATAGTGTAATATATTTATGACATCCCTCTCTCACCATCTTTTTTTTTTTCAGTTTATAGTTTGGATTATGTTTTTTTTTTATAGTTAAAATTCATCCTAAGTAAGGATAAAGCTGATTATGCCCCCCCCCAACCCAAACAAACAGTAGTTGTACAAAAAAATACCGCCCCTTCATATATAGGAAAAAAGTGCTGACCTTTGTGGACCATCCCCTATTACATCCTGGTTCTTCCTAAGCGTTCTTGTCGTAATATTAATACCAAACATTAAAAGTTAGCATACACTTCTTGGGAGTGCTGACAACGGTTGTCTAACTGTACCATAGAACGAAGTCAAGTGAAGACGCTAAGTGATTGTTACTCAAAAAAATCTTCAATTTTAGATCTATAGATCATCAGTTATGTGTAATTTTTTTTTTTATATATCAATATAACCCACAAACACTTTAAATAAAGAAATCTTGATTTTTAAGGAATCATTTTGAATAATTGAAGAAAAAAAAGGATTTTCTACAGCAAATACAACTCTGTCAGATGAACAACATCTGCCAAAAAAGTGGAAGAAAAAAAAATTAACGTTCCGACAAATATAGCTCCTACTGATCCGGAGAGCTATCAACGAGATTTCGGACCGCTTATCTTATTCAGTTAACGTTCGAGTATTAAAGTTATCATTTTACAGTGACTTACTCATATATTTTGTGACAATAAAATCTTGAGAAAATTATAAGAGAGGCTTTTTCAAAGAATTCCTAAACTTAAAATTTCATCAAGCATATTATTATGAAAATCAACATTAAATCTGAATTAATGCAACAAAACTGAATGATGAATGTCTGAATAAAAATATTAAAAAAAAGAACAGACTAATCAAACCGGAGAGACCTATCAGACAAGGCGGTCTAAGAAAGCAGCGGAAATAGACGCAGCGCTTAGTATTTTCTCCTTTTATTGGGTCGCTCCAACTTATGGCGAAAATAAACCGTTATATGTGTGTGTTCAGAAGCAACTGGTCAAGAAAGTAAAGATGTA